GTGAGGGTACTCTCCAACAAGAAGGTTATCAAGACAGCAGCCCTGATACCTACAATCCCTCAGCATATCTATTGCATGGCTCTCGGCAACGGCCTTGCCACGCATTCCCTACCTATGGCTTCGCTACTTATACCTCAGCATCTCGGTTAACCTGGCTCTTGGAAACGGTCTTGTTGTATAACCCTACCTGTAGCCTCGCAGCGTATCCTAAATCATCTATGTTTCCTGGCCCTCATAAACGATCTTGTTGCGTGATCCCTACCTGTAGTCTCTCCATGTATCCCTCAGCACCTTTGTTGCCTGGCTCTCGACAATAGTCTCGCTGCGCATCCCCTACCTACAACCCATGCTACTTATAATTTGGTCAACAACCATACGACTCATCGTTTTGACAACATCCATCTCGGATAAAGAGTTTTTGCTACTTTTTATGCCAACAACTTCGTCGTATATTGATATAGCAACCTTGCTTTTTCGTCATAGTCCGATCTGGCTACCTATGCTACCCACATCAGACTAAGGGGATCCAGTTAGGTATAGCATGCTTTGGAGACACCTTCAGGACGATTGTTAATGCTTGTACAAAGCAGATTATGTACATGGTTATTAGTGATATCCCATATGTGTGTGACTACAACAACAACTGCGTCGGATAACAGTCTCAAGGACTGAATGGCGAGATAACGTTTCTTAGAAACCTTGGCCCGACGCCTTATTGAAATCATCGCCGCATAGCAGCCTCGCTTCGCATAATATTATTAGCAACCTCGTTCCGCATGATCGCAACAACGATTACGTTGCATCACACCGATCGGCTCGCACTCCTCTCAAGAAAGGAGTATCAAGTCATCTCAAGCAGCATAAGCAATGTTTGGCTCATCGCACAACCCCACAGCTCTCGTGGGCGAGGTTCGGTCGTTCTCTCTATTATTTAATGTATTGGTGCTTTGTCTAGTCCGATCTGATTGTTAGAAATTCAATCACATCGGACTAGGGGGACTTGGCGACACATGGTTTATACGACTGAGTCCAGTCCAATGTCATTGGTCGCGTACCAATAACATCGGACTGGGGGGGACTTGTTGATATATGGTCCATTAGCATGGCCTAGATAGCTCTGGCGCGCCAGCCTCGCCTGACGCTCCCTTGCCAGCCTTGCTGGGAACTCTCCTGCTAGCCCGGTTTGGTGCTCCCTTGCAGCCTGATGACACATGGTTTATATGACTGAGTCCAGTCCAATGTCATTGGCCGCATACCAATAAAATCGGACTGGGGGGACTTGTTGATATATGGTCCATTAGCATGGCCTAGATAGCTCTGGCGCGTCAGCCTCGCCTGGCGCTCCCTTTCCAGCCTTGTTGGGGACTCTCCTGCTGGCTCGACCTAGGGACTCCCTTGCTAGCCTGCTGGGGACTCTCCTGCTGGCCCGGCCTGGCGCTCCCTTGCCAGTCTTTCCTAGTGCGCGCCCGCCAGCCTTGCCTAGTGCGCGCCCGCCAGCCTTGCCTGGTGCGCGCCCGCCAGCCTTGCCTGGTGCCTCCTGGCGGCCTCGCCCAGCTCCTTGCTAGTTGGGCCTGAATTGGGCTGGCCCAAGGCCTGACCTTATTCCCCTTTACCTAATTGTCCCCTATAAAGTAAACAGTATCTCCTCCATTGAGGGGGACTCTTCCCCTTGGCTCAGCCGCCACACTATACTCCGGTCGGGTGGCTCAGCCGCCACCCACCGCCGTTAACCACCATACACCACCAGCACCAAGATGGTTCTCTCTAGCTAAAGAAGACCATCTCAGATCTACCAGATGATCTAACTTGACCGTCGGAGCCCGCTCCCGGGGCACAGTCCCTGGGGCGGCTCTAATGCGTCTCTCTGTTGTGACCTCACATATTCGTCTTCGGCGCAGAAGCACTCCCTCGGAGTAGGTGGTCGAGCTGATGTCTATATATATATATATATATATATATATATATATATATATATATATATATATATATATATATATATTAGAAAAAGTAATAATTTAATAATATGGTCCCACTTTCAGGCTTTGAAAGCCTTGAGCATATGAAAAGACAAGGTAAGGTGGCTTTTGGTTTATGTCCAAGTGAATAATGACATATTAACCGATATATTCATTATTAACAAGCAAGTTATTAATAAAAATATCAATTTTTTTTTGTTTTAGAAATTTTTTTAAAGCATCTTCAATAGAAGCTTATTTTATTATTTATTATTATTTGTTTTAAACTATTTATCATTTATTATTATTGGAGCTATAAGTTTATTTATTTTTTCTATTGACCACTCAAAATACATATATATTAAGATATATATTAAGTGGTAAAAATACTTTCATGTATAGTATATTTAAACTCCTTATCTTCTAATAATATTATCATTTACTCCTTAATTATATTTTAGTTTTAGAGGGTGTTTGAGATTTGCTTATTTAAAATGTTTATTGACTTATTCTTGTTTGTCAGTGGTAATAAGTCAATATTAATGTTTGGATATGAAATTTTTATAAGCATTTATTGAGTCAAATAAGGAGTTTTTGATAAGTTGATCTCTTATTACTTATTTGAAATTTCTTATTAATATTAGAAACATATTTACTTTTTACCTATTTTAAACTGAACCGTGTTTTATGTTTCTTATTTTTTTTCTTTACGGGGCAAAAATAGATACATGTGACATTTTATTCAACCTCTTTTTCTTTCATATATGTTTATATAACTTGTACTTTTTTGAAATGGGAAATATATTATAACAAGCCAACAACTAGTAAGTAACTAGGCGAGGGACAAAAAGTCGAAAAGGTAACAATAGTAGTTCACGTGATTACATTTGAGGAAAGTGTGAAGATATCCATTCACCCAGTTACAAATTCCACATTTTCCCCGCTCAGATAACATTTATGCTGTTAAATCTCGCAGATGTCTAATTGATCAGCTACCCCTCGATATTCCTGGATCAACTCTTGTTAATTGGTGTAAGGAAACGAAGCTGTCAAACTATGCGCTTGAATTTATATTGCCTTAGGTAATTGGAGTTGCAAATATACTTTTCTAATGATAATATTTATTAGAATATTTTGTATTAAAATATGATGTTTGTTTAAAAACGACTCATTAAATGGAGGGGTTTGATAAAATATTTTAAATAGATAAGGATAAATTATATAACATTAAAGAAAACCAATTGAAAGAGGTTAACCACTGGAGAAGATATTTAATTATAGGTTAAAGTTAATAGAATGATAAAGTGATAATAATTTTAAGTGATAGTATAAGATAACCATTTGATATGCTATTATAAAAAAGTCATTTTGGATTGATAAAAAGGGAAATTGTCATAAAAGTCTCAATATTTTCAGGAAAGTTACACTTTAGTCCCAAGATTATTTTTTTGAACATTAAAGTCCCGATTTTTTGTAAAAACACGATAATATGTCATTTCCTGTTAAAAGAAAAAAAAACGTTTTTTTGTAAACTTGAGCCAAAATGAAATAATCGGGACTTTATTGTTCAAAAAAAAAATCTTATGACTAAAGTGTAACTTTCCTAAAAATATTGGGATTTTTCTGACAATTTCCCTGATAAAAAATATACGTGTATTTTTTTCTCATTTCCCCCAAAAAAATTAAAAATCTTTTTACTTATGTCCAAAATGTCAATTTCGAATAATCTAATATTATTGTTTTCAATAAAATATCACATTTTAAATCATTTTATGGTATCTACTTTACATTAATTATCTTTATTTTCATATATATTTGAGTAAAAATAATATTTTTCTCAAAATTCTGGAATTGTCTATTGGATTTCGGAGTTACTTTTGTAATTTAAAACTAAATTTTTTTTCTATATAGAATCCTTAATAGTTCGAAATGTGAGTAAGTAATGTACTTTTTATTAGAAAAAAAAACTTTTTGGTCAATACGGAATTATTAATTTTGGCCAAAGTGTTCATTTTCACGATACACAATAACTGTCGTTTTAATAAACAATCTTATTTATAATGATTAGTTTAGTTGATATTCATTGAATAATTCACTTGTGTTATGGTTTTGAACTGGATAATTAGTTTTAAATAAACCACTCAATAAATAGTAATATAACTAGTTATCGAAAATCAAATTTGATCAAACTCCAAGAATATCAAAATCAATATTTAAATTTCAAGTACTCCACAGACATATCAAACAATATTTATTAGTTATTACGTATCATAATGTATGAAGAGAATCATAATTTAGTTTTTATGACTAAAATAAATTGAATTAAATATAAGGATTTAGTTTCGAATACAAGTTTAAATCATTTATCCTCCATAATAAATGAAAATAATTTTGTCACATGTCATTCTCTAATTAACTTGGACACATGCCATTTTTTGGTATTTTTGAATAATTGTTTTTTTCCGTTTGTCATTTTCTTATTTTTTCTATTTTCTTAATTAACACATCATATTTACATCTTAATTAATAATTACCTTAATTGAAAATAACCAATAAATTACAATATTAGTACTCATATAGTATTTAATATGTTTCCTTTTAAATTCAAATTTCAAATCTAAAATTTCAAATTTAAATGAAATTTTGTTTAAACTTACGTATTTAATTTTTTGTTTTATCAAACTCGTATAACATACGGGTCTCACACCTAGTATTAAATAAAATGTTATAATTCAAAAGCTACTTCGAATAGTTTTTTCTTTTACTTTTAGCTTTATTTTTAGTTATTTTTATACATATCAAAAAGTTACTACTTATGCCAAACACAACGAAAAGATTACGAGAGCATAACAATATAAACGATTAACCTTTTTGGTTGATTAGTTTATTAAAACGTGTAAAAATAACTTTTGATTAATGCACCTGGCCACCCTGGGTATGCCGAATCCGATATGGCGATATGCATACTAGAAGTCCATTGAGGCCCAATACGGTCGGATCAGTTTTGTTAAATTGAATTCAAAACTGAATCGGGCAAAGATCCGTCGGAAATACGGTTTCAATTACTTTGAAACAACAATTTCCGGATAGTACCTGATCGACAGATCCGATTGCTATTTTCATTCGAACATGTTTTTGCAGAATTCGGAGACGATTATTGAAGCTTATTGAAGTTCATAATCAAAACTATTGCACAATTTCATTACTTACTGCTAATATAGATTGTTTGTGGTGATCGTATCTAGGTACTTTCTTCCTGAAATTTCGTGGGTAAGCCCTAAAGCGTTTGTAGAATTAATCATCAATACACTTCATTTCCTTTTCATAACTCTTTGATTATGCGGTTCTTGAATTCAATTGCTTTACTTATGTTTCAGAACTTTTAATTTCAGAATCTCTATTGCGTGTTTGAAGTATATTTGGCTTGATTAATTCAGACAAATGCATACTCGTTTTATTAACTGTTTGGAAAATTATTGAACTGATTCTTGTTAATCTGAGCAGATAAGATGGAGGACATGTTCGTTGCAATCCTTTCAATGCTTCTTATTGTTGCTTTAATTCCACTTTACCTATGGAAACGACGTCAGGTCCCGCAGTCTCACGACGAACGAGAAGAACCTCAGGTTAGGGTTTACAAACAATTGTGGTGTTTGATTATGATTTTCAATCCCTCGTGATCTTAACATGTTAATTATTCTCGAAGTAGCACTTATTTTCAATTTCTTAAAACATAAACAGATTCAGCAAAGGGAAACTGTTGTGCGACCTACTGGTGCTCGTAGCAGGATGCGTAGAAGGAATACTTCTGTAGCAAGCACATCTTCTGCTCCACCACAAGCTGTCGAAGGTTTGTGATTCAATCACTTCAACAATAATTACAAGAATAAGAACAATAACAATAAGAATTATGGATTGAAGCAGAAACTGAAGATGGAAGTGATGAAGAAGCTGTTGAAGGTGAATATTACAACGCAAAGACATCAAAGAAGAAAGGAAGGAAGAAAGAGGAACGCCAAGCACAACGCCAGGTGATGGGATATTCTCTTTAACTCTCCTCAACTTCTTTATTCCCAAAATCTTATTCAGATCATGTTTCTTGATTATTTTTTTAAAAGATTCCAAAATAATTAGTAAAATTGTGGTTATATTTCCAACTTGAAGGCTGAAGAGGCTGCAAGGGAGTCAAGGAATACAAAACAAGATCGTTATGCAGAGATACGAAGGAGGAAGGATGAAGAACACGAAGCAAGAGAGCGAATGCTGGTTGATTTATATCTTTTACTTTTTACATCTTTTCTTTTATTCATGTTTTGATTTTTTGCTAAATAAATTTGAATTTTTGATAAAGGAAGAGGAAGCTGAGGCGAGAAAAGCCAAAGAGGAGGAAGCTGCAGCCTTAGAGTTTGAGAAATGGAAAGGAGAATTTTCAGTAGATGCTGAAGGTACTACTGAAAATGAAGTTCAAGATGGGACCCAAGGCTTGCTTTTTGATTTTGTGGAGTACATCAAGGTATATATCTATTTAGTCCTTAATTTTGGATCAGTTTTTATAAAATTTGATATTTTGATGAAAATGGTAATGCAAGTCACTTTTGTTATGTATTGTTTATTTGCATTTTGCAGAAACAGAAATGTGTTCCTTTGGAAGATCTTGCTGCTGAATTCAAACTAAGGACTCAGGTGCTTCTTACTCATTCTTCTTTGAGCTAAATGCAAGAAATAGCAATCTACTTTAGGAAGAAATAAAAGTAGTATACTAAAATAAACTAATCAACAAAAGTACGTTGCTATTTCTTGCATTTAACTTTTTTTCTTCTTCCCATTCTTGATACTTATTTTCATCTTCCTTTTCTACTACAGGACTGTATCAACCGAATCACCTCATTGGAAGACATGGGTATGATAACTCTCACATTTCTTTCTTTTCAAGGGATTTAAATCTTAAATCTTAAATCTTAGATATAGCAATCAACCTCCTTCCCTTTCTTAAGTGGCATTTTTGTAAATATTTGTGCTATTTTGGGTGATGTAGGGAGGTTATCTGGTGTGATGGATGATAGAGGAAAATACATATACATTTCCCATGAAGAAATGAAGGCAGTTGCTGACTATATAAAGCGTGAGGGTAAAGTTAGCATTGCACATCTAGCAAACAAATCGAATCAGTTCATAGATTTGGAACCAAAAACACCTTTATTCGAGGATCTAGCTATTCAGGATGAAATTACAGTTGCTTGATGCACAAAGTTAGATCATATAATGTGGAATGATTTACTTGTGAAATTTTCATAACCTCTGGATTTTTGTGTTGGAAAAGCTTCTTCTACAAGTCGTTTTAATTTTTGTCCAACTTCTAGTTAGTAACATCTTATCCCAAAAACACACGTCAAAATACGAAATCCAATAGATAACAGTTTTTTAATTTGAACACTAGAATATTAAAATATTTTATTAAAAAAATGGGTCTCATGAGCTCACAATAATAGACCCGTCTCACCTGAACCTTTCATTATATACACACACTTATAGAAGGGTAAAGACTACCCTCGGCATTGCCCACATACCATTATTTAGGAAGTTGTAAAAAGATTATAAGACAATTATTATTAGTGTTGTAGACACATATATGTATCCAGTTAAATTGACATTTTTAAAGATACAACTTATAATGCAATTCTATTGAGTGCAATTTTTAAATATCAAGGTTTCTTAAAACGGCAAGAGTTTTAGAAAAGAAAAGGGAAAACCTTAGAAAAACCCAACATATTTTCACAAAATGCTTAAAAAAACCACTATATTATTTTTTAGTACACTAAAACCCTTATATTTTCTAAAATTCTTATTTAAGGTTTTTAGAAAAACCTACTTTATTTTCATGAAAGGATTAAAAAAACCATTATATTATTTTTTTAGTGCATTTAAACCCTTTTATTTTTAAATTTTTTTTTAATTTAATGAATTGTAACAATAGAAACGTTAAGAATCGAGTACCTAACATTTTTGGCTATCTAGGATTTACCGAGCTCAATGGCTTAAATGATACATTTTAAAAAATATAAAGGTTTTAACGTAAAAAAAATAATATAATGGTTTTTTTTAAGACTTTGATGAAAATATGTTGGGTTTTTATAAAAGAAAATATCTCCTTGAATAATATAATAATGTTCAGATGATGTAACATTGATGGTGAAGAATTTGGCTATGATGTGTGCGGCATATAATTTTGTTTAGGAGTCTTGTCACATAATCATTACACGGTAACTAATGGTGTTTACCATTGGGTTCTCCTATTTGTACGATCAAATTCGTGTATAAAGAATGATTAAAAAATTATCAATGATTAAAAAATTATTTGTTGATTTCAATTCTTCTTACATCCTTTTTATTATAACTCCTGTATCTTATATCTAAGTTTTAAAACACACCCTTGCATTTTTATTTTCATTTCAAAATCCAATAACTTGATTATTTATATATAACTAAAAAATTATGCTGATAATCTTAAATTTAAGTTCAAAATCCAATAACTATGTACATTAATATTAATTTATTAAAATATAAAACTCCAAAATGAGTATAAATTTTATAAAACTATCCTAATAATAAAAATCTTTAAATAATATCAACTCAATTGTTAAAGTTCCGTATTTTATTTCTAGTATTGTTATAATTTAAATTCATTTTTAATAAAGTTTATTTTTTTTTTATTTGTTGATGATATATTTTATCATTTTAAATTTATAACTTTAACAACCAACCAATTTATAGCATTTTTAACTCGTTTCTAGCAACACATATTTAACCATTTGCATATATAAGGAAGTTCAATGGCTAATTAAATTTACAGAAGGGAATCAAATTTTTTTTCATTCACATTAATTATTTACAACAAATTTAATATGTGTTTAGGTATGACTTGTCTAAAAGAAACACCAAAAAAAATTTGAAAAAAAAAGTTGTGCATATGAGAATTATCTATAAATTTACTCACAACCATACAATATAATAGAGATCCTAAAGACGTAACCATGCAAGACACCCACCCTAGTATGTGAATACTGAAAAACAATAAAAGTAATAATGAGATTTCTAAAAATCTTGAAATTAAATCAAGTTAGGAGTGAAATTTTAAAAACTTTGGACGATTATAATGCGCAGGGACGGTTTAACCAATTTGGGGGCTTTAAGCAAACAAAAAAATTAGGACCCTTCGGTTTTATAAATTAAATGAAAGGTAAGCAAACATATTTGAATCTCAAACCCTTAGTTTGGTAAACCAATGTTTTTATCACTAGACCAAGCTCTAACTTGTCATTATAACACAAGAAATACGTATATATACATATATAATTAACAAAATCAACTTTAAAATCAGGGGTGATGGTTCAAAATCTATGTACATATAGTTAACAAAATCAGCTCTAAATAAAAGAAAATAATAACATCAAATAGTTCGAACTAAAAATTAACACAATGATAGTTCAAACGAAAAAAACTAACAATAGTCTGAATAAAAAAATAACACAATGAAAGTCCAAACAAAAAAATGACACATAGATAGTCGAAACAAAAAAAAAAACATAAAGATAGTCGGAACGAAAAAAATTACACAGGAATAGTCTGAACGGAAAGTACAAGTCAACTCTTCAAATCACCCAGCAACTAAACCAATGTGAGCTTCATACCCCCATATTTTCTAAGTTTTTATTGTTTTTGGGAGAGAGTACAAGTCAACTCTTGTTCTAAATTCTTAAATAATTGCATGTATTTGTATGTTAAATGGGTGTATTAAAATAATATTATTTCAAGATGACTTTTCATGCACGTGAGATTTCACAAACCTCGTGAAGTTGAGAGTATATTTTAATCATCACATAAAGGATATTCTATTTGCAAAAGGAGCCTCCCAAATTTTATGTCCAGCATACCCCCTTTATCCATGGCTTCTTGTCTAGAAGTAAAAGTTGTTGAAATATATTTTGATATGTTGACACTGTTTCTATAATTCTTTTGAAAAATTGGAACTTTATGTCATATTAGTGACTTTTTGCTAACTATTAGTAATTATTTATGAATATTTGAGATAAATAATTTCACCAATAAAATTTACAAATAGAGCCTTTATGACAGAAAAATTTGCATGTCATAAAGTTGTTGTCATAACTTCACACAAGTCCTAGTTTACACAAATCATAACTTGACACCTTCCGACAAATGGGGTCTCACTTAGTAGATATTAAAGGGAAGAGCCATTTTGCCGACTTCTCTAATATTAGGTCGATTGATAAATATGCAAAGCGGATTATTTCCAACAAACGAAACGCAACGAAACGAAGCGAAACGGAACGAAATATCTAGTCAACAAGTACAACTACTATTATTTAATTAGTAAATAATGGATTTCACGATTGTTCAAAAATCTGTTAGTATTCTAGTCAGACAAATCTTCACAGCACATATATTTATATAAATAGTGTACGACTAAAGTCTTGTAAGAGTTATAACCAGAGTCTCCTGGAGGGGGAACGGGAATTTGTGTATAGATCTATACGGGGTTGACACCCCGCACCTTCGTTGTTCGCTACAGCTAGACCGGCCAGTCTAGGGTGACAAATGTTTTAAACGAAACTGACGTCTGAAGAACGTCATAACGGGCACTCCGTCATATTAGTATGGTTATAACGACTCACTAGAATATATCAGAAATGTATTTATACAGATTTCACTGTTGGTTTACAAACAACTATGTTTTGGTTTGTTCAAATGAAACTTGTCTACACAAGTGTTATGGTTTTCAAAGCTACTATTTTATACATCAGAAAATATAGGATTTTCTAGAGGAAACAATTATATACGATTTCGAAAACGACTAACTAAGACACACATGCAACTATACTCGAGTTGAAACAAGACATACAACTATTTTGATAAGAAAATATTGGACTATTTCTAAACTATCATCAAAGTTTTATACAAAAATGCTTATGAACTCACCAACATATTTTATGTTGACGCTTTTCAAACGACTTGTATTCTCAGGAAACCAATAAGCAGGTTATGGATTGCGAACTCAATATTATTTTGCTATATTTTGGATTTGCTTACTGATGTCTCTTTTGTGTAAAATTTGAGAACGTAAACATGATGTAAAACAATGTAAGTTTGTTATATTGATGTATAATGTTTGGTTTTGCTATGTTTTATTTATATGCAATTGTTATGATATTGCGAAATGAAGTCACCCGCCTCCGGACGTTTCCGCCGTTCTGGTCCGGGGGTGTGACAGATTGGTATCAGAGCGTTGTTTATAGTGAACTAGTATATCTGGCCATACAAGATATACAACTATAAAGCACTCTGACTAAAAAGTATACATACTTGCTAGGACCGTATCATAACAAGAACAAAACAAGATAACTTAAAGGTTGAACACTACAGTCAAACCTGGGCAGTTATGTAATCATATCTTGGATAAATATAGCCTGATCAACTATATTTATCTGAGATATGACCACCATGTGTTCAGGAGTGGTAGTAGTGTTGCAACAAGTCTAAAGCTTCCCAACTGGTTACCCAAAAGTTTTTAAGGAACAAACCTAAAATAATTAAAATACTATAGGAGTATTTTGGCATTCTATCTATTTTCTCGTACTTATATATTCTTGCACAGACGACATGGCATGCTTTCACCTCCCCGGAGACCCTTACTTTCCCAATCAGGGGAATGGGGGTTGGATTGAGGAAGACCCAGAAGAAGACCCCGAGGAACCCATGGAGGATCCCAAAGAACCAGTAGGGTTTGAAGAAGAGGACATCGATGAAGAAGTCGAGGAAGATAACGAGGAAGATGACGAGGAAGAGTTTGAGGAGGACGAGGAATCGGACGTAGAGTCTGAAGTTGTCAACCCTCCCTACATGGCAAGGGTACCACCGCATAGGATGGGCTACAATGGCCCTACACCTCCTTGGGCTGACGATATCGAGAGATGGGGCCAACGTCAAGGTCAGCAACCACCATTTGGGATGAACCGAGGTTACTACAACCTCCAGCATGGGGGACCAGCGGATCGCGCACTCCCTGTCGTGTTCAGACGTATTAGGGACATCGTTGACCAGGTTCAAGTGACCACCGACCAAGTAATGCAGATGTTGGTGGTTATGCAGGTTACAGATGCTCGCACGCGAGACCTAGAGCGAGACTTCTATCCAATGGAACGGCTCATAGAAGATCTTGCCACTGCACGAGCGGAGGTCAGAGAATACCAGGAGAGACACACCGCGCTGGAGGAACGT